AGAGTATGTGTTAAGAACATAAGAAAAACTGGAAGACGGTAAGGACAGGATTGCAGATGCTTACGCAGGAAAAAGGCAATGTAGGAGTGATGAGTAAGAAAGTGGTATGGGCGAGAAAAGGAATTGGGATACTAACTTGGGTAGCACAGGTGGTGGTGGTGTCATAGAAGATGACAGCAAAAGAAAAAGAAAAGCAGAAGAGACTGAGAAGCAGATGAATTGGTGGAAAGATGCAGGAGAGAGATCGCAGAGCTGAGGTCCTGTCCCATGAATTTAAAGGGTATGTACACAGGTATCACTGAGGTATCGCTGGGATATCTGGATTTCTGTTTGTTGTATTCCAGATGCTCTAGAGCCCACTGAGCAGTAAATCTAACACTTCAGGATGCACCCTGATGCACATAGTGAAGCTGACTTCAGAACGCACTGTAACTTCATCATACACTTCCCTGATGCACTGGAGACTTTCTTCAAAGGGGTCTGCACTTATTTTAGAAACATCGAGATTTTCCAAATATAAGGCAGTCCAGTGGGACGTATTATACAAAAGTGGCCCCAGTTAGGCTGCCAAACATCTGGAAATTCTGGAAAAATATAAAAGCGAAACCTCTCAAGTTCCATACAGACAAGACTTTCAAACAGAACAAAAGGCAAAAAAAAAAAAAAAAAAAGACATGCCAGAAGAAGCCTGGACAATGGTAGGCCTGATGAGCTCAGCCTAGTAAGCCAGGGCTGCTGCTGGTGGCATTCACAAAATATAAATCTGGGAATTCTTGGCCTAAGTTAAGGTCCCTGTTGGTTATGCAGATAAAAATTTCGACAGTAAGCAACAAAGGGAGTTTACAGCATGAATGGCAATTCGTAGAGGAGAAATGCCATGTTAAGCTCTCCACACACCTGTTCCATTTATTATTCCAGTGAGCTACACAATAAAAATTTTGAACTCAATTATCAACCAGCAAATTTTCTCAAGTTTCATTATAATGCATTTATTCAATGCATTGACAATGAACCAGGGTCAGCTGTAAAACATCCCTTGGAAAAGCTATAAAATTAAGGCATCCAAAGGAGAATTCCACATATGAAATTCCGGAAACAGGAGTTGATCTGGACTTTCACTAAGAATTAGACATATTATATCTCGCATTTGAAGATTAAGTTAGTACCCATCATTCTCTGTGGTATTCTCTGGAAGATCGAATAGTTCCACAGGACCTTTTTGTTCTTCCTCTTTCAATCTCTCTTTTCCAAACTCCGAAGGATAAATCTACAAATACAACAACACAAAAGTAAATTTTTAACTGTAACCTAGTTGTTGAAAAAATCTCTCACCAAGCTTTTTACACTTTATCTTTTTTCTCTAAAATCAGTAAGGAATCAATTCCATGAACTTTAATACCCTCTTAATTTTAATATACAGAAAAGATAGTAGAATAAACCAACTGCCCATTAGGAATGAGAATATTTTGAGACAGATAAAGAACAGGAAGTCTAGCTTTGTTTATTTCACTGTGCCCCTTTACAGAAAGGGGTATTTGACTAACATTTCTCAGAAAGGTGGAGGCAGGCACTAAAAATGGAAAAATGTAACTTAACTGATCAGAATTTAACCACTTTATTAATAAACTCAAAAGTGGAAAACCAAGAAGTGTTGTGCAATGATAAAAGGGGTTGGAAAGCATTTAGAAATCGCCAGGTTTAAGGTTGGGTTATCTACCATAAAGACCACTAAAAATTAAACTAGCCAAGGAAACACAGTCTCTCCCTACTAGCACTCAGAGCCAACCTCATAAAAATGAGAAGTTCACATCTTTAGGATTTAACTCCACCACGTACATGCCCATTGCTGAAAAGCAGCAGGTGCTTCTTTCTAACACAGCAAGTTAAATTGCAACAGTTTCACATTTATCATGTTAATATATCTTTTGGTTCTTCTACAGAGATGTCTTACTTTGTTCTTATTTTGTAGTTTTTTGGGGGGGGGGGGGAGAGGGGGAAGTTGTTGGGGTTTTTCTGGTTTTTTTTGGGTTTTTTTTTTCAGCAAAAGCCAGTACTCCTTTTAGAAATCAGGTCTTACCTTAACAGAAAATATTGTTCCTCCTTTGGGTGTGAAAGAGTTAAACAGAGCCAGCAAATCCTTAGCTTTCAACCTATCCCAATCCATATTACAAACTGCCAATCTACTTGTAATCTGCGTAGAGAGAAAATAAAAAAGGGACATAAAGTTCATAGGTTTAACTCCTGACTGCTATCGGAAATCCACAATTCTCTTGCAACTATCCTTGGTAAATATCAAAGTCCTCAGCAAACTCTGCTGAAAACATAAGCATTTTCCCCAAGATTTTGTATCACTTAAGGTCAGAAGTAGCAATCACTAGAGCACATAAAAAGGACATAAATAGTGAAGCACCACAGAATGGACTGCACCAATCACAGATTTAGGACTGCAGTTACAACATCAGCACTTAGGATTTTGTTATCATCATATGGTTAGTCACAGTAACAACTAGTATCACGGTACTGTAATGGCACTAGATTACTGTGATTTCTTACACACTAATTGTGCTCACTTTTAAAGTTCTACCTCACTGTCTAATGATTTCTTAGTTTCCTAAAGCGCAAGTTAAAAAATACTATTAAAAAATGAAAAAAAAAATCAGTAGTGAACAAAAGCAGTACTATTTAAATTCTGTAATTTCTGAAAAGCCCAGTTCTGTTTGTTCTTTCGCTTATAGATAGCTTATCAATTAGGTAAACCTCTATTTAAAGGGAAAGGGGGACACCACTGAAAACTGCAAGTCTCTTTCTCAGCCAATTTCATAATCACTTGCGTTCTGTAATCAAAAGGCTGAAAAACCTTTACAGAAAATACTTTCAAAAAACGCTTCATAGGCGAGGGTCTACAATGAACTCCTAACAGCGTACATTTCTGAGTTTGTCATGTAGCAACTTTTCACATGCAGAAGTATTGGTACCTCATCTCCACGAGGGGCATCTTTATCTAGCTCACGCCATGAATGCTCTATCTCTGGCTCCTTCGGAAATAGTTCATTTAAATCCTCATCATCCTCTGAGCTTGTTTCAATGTTCCCTATGCCTCTAGCTAGATCAGGCCCACTATCACTTTCATCTTCAGAGTCACTGTCGTCTTCGCCTGTTTCCCCATCGTCTTCTGGCTCCTCTTCCTCGCCTGTTTCCCTGTCATCCTCTGGCTCCTCTTCTTCTGATTCTGCACACTCAAAATCATCACTTGCAGATATTTCTTCCTCTGAGTGGCTTTTACCGATGTCACGTTGATCACAGGTGTCTGTGCAAACAGTCACTGAAAGATAAACGTATGATCTTTACAAAAATGAAAAAATCCTCAGATTTACAGAACCCCTAAATGCATAATGATGCAGGAACAAATTACATCAGGGAAGTGCAAACAACATAAATTATCAGTATTGGCTCTTCATCTTATCTAATCTATTGCTCTTTAGGCCCACAATTGTATTATCAATCTCAAACTATGAGAACTATTCTATTCTGTTATTCTATTTATATGTATAGAATCAACAAGTAGAAATTAGATTTCAGTAATGTGGGCTTTATGCATGCACAGCAATATAAAGGAAGTTTTTCTTAAAGTCACCTCTTCTCTTTAATGCCCTTATATTAATGGCTTGGTGCTGCCATCCTTACGCTTTCGGACAACAAGTGTTGATATGTTGAGGCCTTCGAGGTATCAGACCTTGCATTTGATATTCAGTTTGATAAATAATGTATACACTACTATATGTTTTACTTTTCTAACTACGAACAATTTCAGCTCCAACAACTAAAAGGACATGGACATTCACAATCTTACTGAAGAACCAGCGCTGATTCTGTGAAGAGCTGATCAACTCCAATTCCTCAGCAACACTGAATCCGAGTCAGTCAGCTATTTTATGACTGATCTTGCAAAAGATTTCCAATGAATAAAACAAAAGCAACAACATCCAAGTAAACATACCAAATTCTAGTTGTTATTTGAACAACTAACCTGATTCTTTTCTTTTCCTTCCAGGGGAACCGTCCCTCCTGGGAGGTTTAACTGATTTAGTACCACTTGGTTGTGAAGACTTCTGCTTGTTTTGAATTGAAATTGAAATTGATCTTCCTCCTGATGTATCTCCTTTCATGTTAGCCCCCTTGTGTAAAAGGCCCTTGTTTCCCCGAGAGCGATCAATTTCTGTTGCAGATTTCTTAGAGTCCTCTTTCAAGTTGAGTTTAGATGTAGCTTTTTGTCTTTCATTTTTAAGGCCGTCTAGTTTTGTCACTGCTTCACATGTTTGGTCCACCCCTTGTTTGTTTATTTTGCTCTCCTCCCTAGGGAGACTATCAGCAAGTAGTTTTGCAGAATCTGCTTCTTTAGGCTTAGCTTTTTTTTTCTTTTTTTTCTTTTCAGTATGTTCTTTACTATCACTTTCTGAAAGATCAGAGTCAGATTCTGACAGGGCATAAAATTTCCTGAGGTTCTCTGTAGAAGTATAGTTAACAGGGCGACCTCTTTTATCCACTGTATATTTCAGCTTAAACTTCTTGTCATGAAACATAGCTCGGAATCGTTTGTCAATCTTGACTTTACGTTCTTTTTCTGGCATCTCCCAAAATCTGGGATCCCTAGTAATGCGGCTAAACCGCCCATCGCTCAGTATTTCCTCTTGAGACAACATTTTTGATGCTGTTGAAGACTTAGACATCTACAATATGGTGAGAAAAAAGAAAAAAAGAAAACCATTCTGATTTTAAAAAATCTGATTAACATAGACTTAGATACATAATTGAAAAAAATTAAATTAGCCAAAGTTAATTTGTTACTTATACCTAAAAAGTTCTTTCCAAAAGCACATATAGCAAATTATATGAGTCAAAAATAATTCTGTATCTACCAGAATCTCGACTACACATCTTCGTTTCCTCTGATAACGGATATGCAGCTATAAAGACCATAGCGGCTGCAGATACAGCGCTACATGGTCCGCTATCAAACCCCCAACAGGACCTCAAACCCTTTCCCTGTCAGCCAGGCCTCAGTCTTGCACTTCCCACAAAACTAGAGTATTTCACGTTTTAAAGCACCGCCTAGCAACGAAGCCAGCGAGGGGGGCGAGTCTTCTGGCGAGCTCAGGCCAGTGACCACCGGCAGCTCCGCCGCATGCAGAGGCTGAGGGCGGCCCAGCAGCAGTAAGGCCGCATCACAGCCTTCCCCGAGGCGCCCTGCGCCCAATCGGCTGCGGCACCCCGCTCCCTCACCCACCCCAGGAGACGGAGGAGCCCCGCTCAGCGCTGCCGGGCCGACCCGGGCCACG